ACTACTACTACGACTACTACTACTACTACTACTACTACTACTACTACTACTACTACTACTACTACTACTACTACTACTACTACTACTACTACTGTTACAGCTGCGACAATGAGGAGAAGGAGGAGGACGGCGTTTACCGTTACTACTAATATTGCTCTCCTCGGGGCTCCAACTCCTAGATCGGGTCGCTCTGGGATATTTTTCCGATGTTGCAAATTTTTGCAACGTCGGATCTCAGGGGAGACAGAGTGAGCGGTGGGCTGCACCAGAAGCGCGTGCAGTTGTTGCGTCGCAGCGCGGCGGAGGCGAGCCGCACGCGCGTTTGTGCGAGACCGGGGCGCGGTGTCGCGAATGCGCCCGCATGCAGGAGGGGGGAGAGAGGCGTGGAGCCGGCCGTAGAGGGGCCGGGTAGGGCAGGGCACGCAGCGAGGCCGCAGCGGGGCCAGAAGCGAACACAAACACGAGAGCGCAAGAGGGCGAGAGCAGGGAGGCGGGGCCCGAGCGACGGCTCAGAGTGCCCTCTGGTGCGCGGCTTTCGGGGGGCCAGGCCCGAGCGCGCAAGACGCTGCTGTCACATTGCGTTCATCGGGCGCGCGGCGTGACCTACAATGGGGGGTGAAGAAAAGGGCCCTGAAAGGGGCCCTGTAGGGCACCTTCTGAAGCCAGCTCGTGTCCAAAAGGTGCCCCAAATGGCGCCTTAAGGATCTTTTTCTTCACCCCCCATTGGGGTCACCCCCCATTGCCACCCGCCTGACTTCAATCATCTGGGGGCACCAATGCGCCCGCACCAAAAGCCACTCCGGCGAAAGGCCACTCGCGTACCTGTAGCCACGCATCGGCTGATAACACGCAAGAGAGACCCCGGGCAAGAGGGACCTGCAGTACGCGGAGTACGGGGGCGCAGGGTGGCCAAATCTACGCGCTGGCAGCGGCCACTATCGCATCGCGCTGAGCGATCGGGAGCACCCCGGAGCGCCCGCACCAAGAGGTAGATGCCTCCCAGAGGGGGCCCGAGTAGAGTGGAGGCCCGACCACAAGAAACCTTCCACAAGAAACCCAACCCTGAGACCCCAGGACGTCCATCGATTTGTGGTGTGGGAACCCCGCGCTCCCCATTGCAGAACCATCAAACCCCAAGAAACCCAGGGCACCCTGGAGACAAGCAGGGTGTTTCTTGGCATGGGTCTCCACTGCAGATGGGGTCGGAGGATCTCGCCGCCTCGCCGATTCATCGGCGAGGCATCGCCGATGCCTCGGCGCGGCATCGGCGAGGCGCTTGGCGATGTATCGGCGATGCCTCGGCGACGTCGGCGAGGAGAAGGTTGGGCCCCACACCGAGGCATCGGCGATGCATCGGCGATGCGGCGCGGTCCTCCGACCCCACCTACTCAGACCCCAGCTAGGGTTAAGTCGGGCGTGCCCCCCCCTACAGGGGGATCTTCGACGATCAGAAAAAACTCATCAAATACTCCAAAATTGCCAAAAATGCTCAACGAATAGTCACTGGACTACTTTTTGACTACTTTTGAATACTCCTTCTGTAGAGGGGCGGGCCCGACTTAGAGCTAGGAGGCCGAGGAGAAGCCACTCGGGCGAGAGGTCCCTCTGACGCCCAGCCAGGCACCACTGGCGCGGCGGCCGGGGCAGCCCAGCCAGTGCGAGGCGGGGTGCGGGCACGCGGCCGAGGGCCGCGCGCGCCGCGCGCAGCATGGCCCGCGGGGGTGCGGGAAGCGAGGGGGGAACGCGACGTACAGTCAGCCCGGATAGCAAGCATGCGCGATGAGGATGCTCCTCCTCCTCCCCCTCCTTCTCCTCCTCCTCCTCCTCCTCCTCCATCTCTCCCCCTCTCCCCCTCCTCCCCCTCCTCCTCCTCCTCCTCCTCCTCCTCCTTTCCCCTCCTCCTCCCCCTCCCCCCTCCCCCTCCCCTCCTCCTCCCATCACTCCTTCTTCTCCTCCTCCTCCTCCTCCTCCTCCTCCTCCTCCTCCTCCTCCTCCTCTTCCTCCTCGGGCCTTGGAGGCCCATGCTAACGTTTTTCGCACGAGGCTGGCCAGCGAAATTGGCCAAGCATGGGCCGAGGAGGCAAGGAAGGATGCATGGGTCCCCTTGGGAAGGTTGCCCATCCTTACTATGCGGGTTGACTGTACAGTCCGCCTGCAAACGTGAAGTGAAGGGGTGAAGGGGCTGCGCCAAACGTGCAACCTCCCCAGGCCCCCGATGTCCAGGCGACTTTTCATCCGGAATCGTTTTTGCTGACGGTCATGTGGCCCAGCGAGGGTCCCATCGGAAGAACAACTGAAAGCCTTCCGCAGCGAGGGGGCGGGGAGGCTGCAATAATGCAGGAACCCTACACAAGGAACGACGCCGCTTTGGGGGACCACGAGGGCCTGGGCGCACGAGGAGGGCCAGAGAAACAGCCGCGGAAGGACCCAGGGAACAGCGAGCCCCCCCCGAACCCAAACCGGTCCTTATCTCAGCGATTTAACGGGCGAGTAACTGTATAAACTAAACTTTTTCGCTGTCGGGGGCGCCTGTCCCAGGGCGGCTGGAAAGTTTATACCCTTACGGTGGCACCGTAGGGGGATTAATTTTTTTTTCTTTCCAGCCGCACAGGGAGAAACAAAAAAAAAAACGGCGCCCAAGGGCATGCGGGCCACGTTTTTTATACCGTTCTTCGCTCGCAGGGTCTTGACTGCAGGGGGGGCCGGCTCGGGGGGGGGGGCGTCGGTCGGCCTTCGATCAAACTTCGAGGTTTGAAGCTTGAGGCTTTCGAAGGCTCGCGTTGGCTCTCGGCGGCCCTCCAGCCTCGGAGCGCTCTCCAGCGGCTGCGCCCCGCCGACGGCGTTCTGGGGGTACAGCCAGGGCGTTGACCCAAGGAACCCTAAATAAGGAACGAGGCCCCTTTTTCTCATAAGTTACACTCCGATTTTCTCAGGAAGACCCAAGGAACACTGTAAAACAACTAAGGAACACGGAGCCCCTCCCAAACGAAAAGGGTTCCTTCTTCAGCGCCCCGACTGTATCCAGATCGTCCCGAACGGCCGCCGGAGGCCCGAGGTACGACCCGAAAAACCTCCAGGCCCAGCTCAGGGGGGAAACACATCGGCCCGACATCGGAGACACATCGCCGACAGATCGGCGCCAGGCCCTCAGAGTAGCAACTCCGCGCGTTCCTGCTTGGGGGGGGCCATCGGGCTCCTATCGGCGACCAAGGGGCGATGGGGGGTCGATGCATCCCCCTTCGCCTAACCGCCCCGAACGTTGCTGCCCCTGAGGGCCTCCAGAGGAGGGGTCGGGGAGCAGTGGTTAGGACGAAGCCAGGACCGGGACAACATCGGACTGGGGTACATCGGGGATCTCTGCGGACCGGCGGCTCTGGAGGACGTATCGGTCGCCGTGGCCGCTCAAGAGCGCTCCAAAACGCTCTGCCCCGAGATCCGACGTTGCGTAAATAGACTGCAGCGTCACGAAGAAACACGATCGAAGCCCTGCATCCCCTGTTTTTTTGCGTTGTTCTCCTGGCCAGACCGATCTGTGAGGGTCCCAGGGCCCGAAAGTACGCGAAGACGCCCGGCTCGAAAACATCGAGACGGGAAGCAGGAGGAGGAGGAGGAGGAGGAGGAGGAGGAGGAGGAGGAGGAGGAGGAGAAGGCGGAGGAGGAGGGGAAGGGAGGAGGAGGAGGAGGAGGCGGAGGAGGAGGAGGAGGAAGGAGTAGGAGGAGAGCAGGAGGAGGAGGAGGAGGCGGAGGATGAGGAGGAGGTGGCGATTTCCCTCGGTCTCAGGTCGGGGTCGACGCTCAAGGCTGGCAGCACCGAGGCTCCTTCAGCGGTAGCCGGCTTGGGCCAGGGCTGCAGGGGGGGGCCCTCTGCTTGGCAGCCCGCGCTCCACGGAGGATAAGCGGCGGCTCACTGCCCCGGGCCGCGCGCCCCTCTGTCTCCGCCTCCTCTGCCGCGTTCTCCTCCTCCTCCTTCATCCTCCTCCCTCCTCCTCCATCCTCCTCCTCCTCTCCCCCTTCTTCTCCTTCTTCTCCTCCATTCCTCCTCCTCCTCCTCCTCCTCCTCCTCCTTCCTCCTACTTCCCCCCTTCTCCTCCTCCTCCTCATCCTCCTCCTCCCTCTCCGCCTACCTCCTCCCTACCTCCCCTCCTCCTCCCCCACTTCTCCTCCTCCCTCCTCCCTCCTCCTCCTATCCTCCTCCTCTTCCTCCTCAGCCCTCCTCCTCCACTTCCCCCTCCTCCGCCTCCTCCTCCTTCTCCTCCTCCTCCTCTTCCTCCTCATACCTCTACATATCCTCGTCCTCCACTCGTTCTCCTCGTCCTCGTCCTCGTCCTCCTTGTCCTCCTCGTCCTACCCCTCCTCCTGGCCGAGCCCAGCTCCGATGGCTGTGGGGACCCTGGGCAGCCAAGAGGTCGAACACAACGCGCGGCAAGGGGCAGGGGAGCGAGCTGCAGCGCTTCTGACGGCTTCTCAACTGTACAAGGTGCCCCTGGAGGGCCCAAGACTGTCCGACACTATCATGTTCAAGGTTGTCCATGACCACTCCGAAGAAGGCCACATGGCCGAACATCATTCCAAGTCCATTCAGAGGAGAACCTTAGAATGGCCCAAGATGGCCTCACGACTCCCCACACAGGTACGCCCCCAAGACAGCCAGAACATACCCCCAGACGGCCACCCCAATACACGCCAAGACGGCCACCGACTCCTGATACAACATCCGACATGCCCCGACTATGTCCTCAGTGGGCTCCTAATACCCTCTCAAGCACGCTCATGCGTCGCTCAGAACACTCAGAACGCACCATCAAGTAGCCGCCCGTCGGAAGAAGTAGGTAGAAACCTGACCTGCCTGGGAAGGCAGATCAAGTAGATAGGGTTCGGGCCCGCCCAAATCTAATAGCAGAAGACAACACACATATCGACTCTTGAAGTAGACAAGGCGCTGGAAGTATGTTGAGATCTGGGAGATCCAGACACACCTACATGAAACGACTGGTGCGTCTGTGCTCCCAGGGTGGCCCCCCAGAATGCCATCAGAATGGCCTCCCATCTGTGCGGCCGACGGTGGCCCCCCAGAATGCCATCAGACGACGCTTGGGCCGACCGCCCCCAGGCGGCCTCTGAGACAACCAGTGATCGTGCTGGGAGGAAGGGTTTGGGAGGATACAGGGTACGACTGTGTGATGAGCACCTTCAACGTGCGCGGCAATAATGACAATGTGATCATTGCTCCCACCCCCACCCTCCCAACCCGATAATGGCGCTTCTGAGCCTCAAGATTGCTCCCAAACGCAACTCCTCAAACATAGAAGAGAAGAGGGGGAGGAGGAGGAGGAGGAGGAGGAGGAGGAGGAGGAGGAGGAGGAGGAGGAGGAGGAGGAGGAGGAGGAGGAGGAGGAGGAGGAGGAGGAGGAGGAGGAGGAGGAGGAGGGAGGAGGAGGAGGAGGAGAGGGAGGAGACGGAAGACGGCCCCGACACTCCCCTGCCCGACGGCTGCATGCCCTCCAAGGCGGCCCCAAGGTTCCCCCATGAGTCACCCGCCGTGCCTCCGGGAGGCCCCAGCAACGCGCTCGGGACCCCCCCCCCTGTGCCTGGTGCCAGGGCTTCCCCGTGTCAAGACGGTGAGGCAGCCCAGATCTGCTGCAGACCTCGATGACGTTGGATGCGTCGCTGCTGCGAATGCTCCCCCGACATGCTCGCGTCGTTCAACAAATCACGAGGGGAGGTTTTTGGCCGTTGTCGGCCCCTGGGGTCCCTCGTCGGGCTCCGGGACCACCAACAAAAACTACTCGGGGTGAAAAAAGAGCCCTGGAGAAAAAGTCGGGACTTCTGGAAAGGCCCAATGTGTACGGACAAGAACTTGTGCTCAGCGTGTCGCGGCGGCGGCCCCGACGACGCGCTGTGCCGCGCACGCGGGCAGCGTGTCGCGCGCCGCTCCGTGCGGCGGGAGTCATCTGTGAACTGCTCGGAGCGCTGGCGCCTGGGGACTGGGACGTGGTTAGCTTGCCGCGCTCACGGTCGCCTCATCCTCCTCCTCCTCCTCCTCCTCCTCCCCTGGGACTCGAAGCGTGGTGGGCCAGATCCAGCGGCCCGACACTCTGAGCAAACGTGCCTGGCAGCAAGCCATGACTGCGATCGCTTGCAGCCCTGTCCACGAACGCAGGGCGTCCACGAGCCTGCAACGCCTCAGGCGTCAGGCGGCTCAATCGCAAGCAGAAATCCTGTGGGCCGCGCTGGCGAATGCTGAACGGAATCCATGACGCATGCGGGCCGAGTGCCTCCTGTGAGGGGCAACGATCGGAGGGGACTGGCACAGGGGGGGAACATCGACCTGGCATCGGCGATACATCGCCGATAGATCGGCGATGGGCCCCCGATAGTGAATCCGCCCGTTCCTGGGCGGGATGGGGCTATCAGACCCCTGTCGGCGATCAACTCGCCATCGCTCGGACTTCCATTCCTCGTGCATTGTTCGGCTTCTTGCGTGTATTTTTTCCGCTAGACGATCCAATATTCTCCGCGATTGTGCTCGCCGAGAAAAAATGCCCACGTCCGAGCGATGCCAGGTCAATGCGCGATTGGGGGTCGATGCATCCCCTCCTGTGCCCATCCCCCCCGATCGCTGCCCCCGATTCCGTTCCCTGCTTCGAGCGCTTCCGTGCACGCCCTCCGCAGAGCGCCTTCCCGACTCCTTCCTCACCGCAAACGGGCCCCTGCCGCCGAGCCCGTGAAAGAGCGCGCGTGCGCCGGTTGGTCCTCCTCGAGCGTGGCGAACGCGCTGCACGCAGCCTCCTGCACGCGCTTGTTCTTGTCCTGAGGTGGCCACACCTCCCCCCTCCTCCTCCTCCTCCCTCCTCCCTCCTCCTCCCTCCTCCCCCTCCTCCATCTCCTCCTCATCCTCCTCCCTCTCCTCCCTCGCCTCCATCTCCTCCCTCTCCTCCTTCTCCTCCTTCTCCTCCTTCTCCTCCTTCTCCGAGACCTTCTCCTCCCTCCGCCATCCACCCGCCTCCACCCTCCTCCTTGAGACGAAGCCAGAACGAGGACAAGGTCTGGTGAAGATGATCGAGGATCTCTGAAATCCGGCAGCCCTGGAGGATGTTTCGGGCGCCGCGGTCATCTCTGGAACGGATTGTCCTCGTCCCACGGGTCAGCGTCGCAGATCCCCCAAATCCCCCAGGGGGCAAGCACGGCCTTCCCTTCCTGCCCCCCTCCGGGGGGGGTCAAGAGGGGACATCCGAGACGCGGGCTCGCAACTCATGGCCCGAGGCACGTGCGCGGCCCACGGGGGGGCCAAGGGACACGCATTGGAAAGAGAAATTGCGATGCGATGCGACCACCGTTTCGGACAGTGTCTTGGCCTAGCTCTGGCCAGGTGGGCGAGGCTGTGGCCTCGCGAGTCTAGCTTGTCTGGGTACATGCAATGCGAGACCCTCAAAATTTGGAGGGAGGCCAGGAGGAGGAGGAGGAGGAGGAGGAGGAGGAGGAGGAGGAGGAGGAGGAGGAGGAGGAGGAGGAGGAGGAGGAGAAAGAGGATGATGATGAGGAGGAGGAGGAGGATGTGTGTGTGATGATGAGGAGGAGGCGGAGCAGCAGGAGGAACAAGAGGAAAAGGGGAAGGAGGAGGAGGAAGTCCGTAGTGTCGGTGTCGGCGCGGGTGTTCACTTTGAGGGTCTTGGTCCTCAGTGTTTGCTGGTGTGTGGTCGAAGTAATGGTGCTCGGGTAGATCCATGTCTTCGACACGTGCTGTGCGTGAGCTCGCCCTTTCGGTCCTTCTCGTCTGGTTGCTTAGGTGTGGTGTAGTTCGAGCCCAGGTCTTGCTCGGGTGTAGTTCGAGCCCGTGCGGCTTTGCTGCGCGCGCCATGTCGTCAGGAATCGCAGTCAGGCGCGACGAAGTTGAACAGAGAAGAGGGGAACACCAGATACGAAAAGGAGATCATGGCCCTGGCCATGATCTGCCCCCCAATCATCACTTCCCTCTTGGCCGCCCCCGGCCCCCCCACCGCCAAGATCTTGTGTCCGTCAACGGGGGTGGGTTGGAAGAGCCGCGGACGGAAGACACGTGCACCTTTCCCGCACCCGTTGGACACGCGGTGCCATCGGAGGAGGCCGTTGGGGCCCCTTTCGGGCCACTGCCCTGCAGTCCTCGATTCCCCCTGCGTTTGTTGCCACCCCGTGGCCACAGTGCGGGCCGCCCCCCGGGGGCTCCCTCTGGCAGGCGCCCCCCCCCCGGCCTCCGAACGGCCGCTTTGATCGTTGTTGCTCTCCCTTCTTGCGGCGTGGGCACCCAGGGCCCGTCGACACCACGTACTCCCCTGGGCCGCCTTTTGTCGCGGGCAGCTCTTCTCGGGTCATGGGGCTCGAGACGCGGCTTTGGACGTCGATGCGGTAAGTGGAAATGCTTGCCGTGTGTGGTGTGTGTGTGTGGTGTGTGTGTGTGTGTGTGTGTGTGTGCGTGCGTGCGTGCGTGGGTGTGTGTGTGTGTGTGTGGGTGCGTGTGTGTGTGTGTGTGTGTGTGTGTGTGTGTGTGTGTGTGCGTGCGTGCGTGCGTGCGTGCGTGCGTGTGTGTGTGTGTGTCGTTGTGTGTGTGTGTATGTGTGTGGCGCGTGTGTGTGGTGTGTGTGTCGTGTGTGTGTGGTGTGTGTGTGTGCGTGTGTTGGAGTCGTGTCGTGCGTGTGTGGGTGTGGTGTGTGTGTGTGTGTGTGTGCCCCCGCGCTGTGTTTGGTGTGTGCGTGGTGGTGTGTGTGTGCGTGTGTGTGTGTGTGTGTGTGTGTGTGTGTGTTGTGTGTGTGTGTGTGCGTGGGTGTGTTTGTGGTGTGTGTGGGTTGGCGTGGGTGTGGCGGGCGTGTGCGGGGTGTGCGTAGGTGTGCGTGGGTCGGTGTGCGTGTGTGTGCGCGCGGCGCGGCGCGGTGTGTGTCGTGGGTGTGTGTGTGTGTGTGTGTGTGTGTGTGTGTGTGTGCGTGGTGTGTGTGTGGGGGGTGGCGTGTGCGTGGGGTTGCGTGGGAAGCGTGGTGGGTGCGTGGGTGTGCGTGGGTGAGCGTTGGGGAGGATGCGTTGGCAGTGTGTGTTGTGTGTGTGTGGGTGAGTGTGGTGTTGTGTGTGTGGGTTGTGGTGTGTGTGTGTGTATGCGTGCGTGCGTGCGTTGCGTGCGTGCGTGCCGTGCGTGCGTGCGTGTGCGTGTGCGAGTTCGAGTTGCGGAACGTGCGGGGCCGTGGGCGGATCGATTGCGGCGTGCTGTGCGTGTTCTTGTGTGTGTGTGTGTGTGTGTGTGTGTGTGTGTGTGTGTGTGTGTGTGTGTGTGTGTGTGTGTGTGTGTGTGTGTGTGTGTGTTTGTTCGCGGCGCTCAGGGGTCTGAGCCCCTTCCTGGGCTCGGGGAGGGGCACACGTGGGAGGAGGATGGGGAGGATGACGAGGAGGAGAAGGAGGAGAACGAGGACGAGGACGAGGAGGAGCAGGAGTAGGAGGAGGAGGAGGAGCAGGAGGAGGAGGAGGAGGAGGAGGAGGAGGAGGAGAAGTAGGAGGAGGAGGAGGAGGAGGAGGCGCAGGAGGAGGAGGATGAGGAGGAGCAGGAGAAGGAGGAGGAGGAGGAGGAGGAGGAGGAGGAGGAGGAGGAGGAGGACGAGGAGGAGCAGGAGAAGGAGGAGGAGGAGGAGAAGTAGGAGGAGGAGGACGAGGAATTCTGGGGCTCCCAACACCATCGCACCCTGGCTTCTGCGCTGCCCCCACCTCTTTCCCTTGCTGCCCTGCCAGGGGTGGGTGGCTCCGAGCGGGCGACAGCCTCCGACCGCGGGTGGCGCCGTCGGAACCACGCAGCCTCCTCCCCTTCTTCTAATGCGGGATGACGATTGATAAAACATGGGGAGAACGATTTAAACATGGTTTTCTGCTATTTCTGTACAATTTTCTGACTGGAAGAGAACGATAAAAAATAGTTGTCCACCCCGCGGCCGGTTTTTTCTAATCGTCATCCCGGGCGCCGCCGCGTGAACACGACCCCCGGTCATTTATTACTCGTCATCCTCCATTACGGAGCCCAGGCGTCGTGCCTGGGCCCGCTCGTGCTTGGCCTTCGCGCGGGCACGCGCGAGGCCGACGCGCGGCACGGCGCGCCGTCACTCGACGGGGACTCCCCCGCGTGCTGCTGCGCCGCCACCGGGGATGGGGGTGACCGTGCCGCTGGTGTCCCCCAGGCGTCGGGTCAGGCAGCCCCCCCCCCCCCCATGGCGATTTCCACTTCTCGCTGGCTTGCGAAGAGGGGGGGGGGGGGAGGTGGGAGAGGACATGCGGTCGGGAACTTTCTCTCTTGCCGTGTCGCCACGGCGGCCCCAGCGACACGCCACGCCCTGCGACGGACAGCGTCTGGCTCCGCTCCGCGGGGCGGAGGGAGGGGAGAGGCTCGGGAGTCGCGGCCGTTCGGGGATCGCGACACGGATAGCGTGTCACACCGAGGCTTGGTGGGCCGGAACCGGCGGAGCGGCACGCTATCCCAAAAGTTCCTGGCCAGAAGTGGGGGGGGGGCCTGCCCTCGCTCCACCTGTGGGAGGGCCGCGGGCGACGTGGCGCGGGACGGCCAGCGGCGTTGACGCGATCGCAGGCAGCGGATGATGATGATGATGATGATGATGATGATGATGATGATGATGATGATGATGATGATGATGATGATGATGATGATGATGATGATGATCAATCGTGATGCTGATGATGCCGACGGTGAGAATACTGATGATGAAGATGATGATGACGATGCCGATGATGCTGATGCTGATGCTGATGCTGATTATGATGCTGAGTTTGAATATATTTACGAGTATGATGCTGACGATGATGATGATGGTGGTGATGATGAAGATGCTGGTGATGATGGTTCTGATGATGCTGCTGCTGATGATGAAGGTGATGATGATGGTGATGATGATGGTGATGATAATGATGACGAGGAGGAGGAGGGGGAGGAGGAGAGGAGGAGGAGGAGGAGGAGGAGGAGGAAGAGGAGGAGGAGGACGGCCTCGCACCTCCTCAGTCCGCCCTCCAGGAGGAGAGGAGGAGGAGGAGAGGAGGAGGAGGAGGAGGAGGAGGAGGAGTGAGGAGGAGGAGCAGGAGGAGGAGGAGGACCTGCCTGCCGGCCTCCCTCCCTGCCTCCTCTCCTCCCGCGCCGGGGGGCGCGGGTCCAGCACCCGCTCCAGGAGAGCCTTCAGCACCTCCCGCAGGATCGCCTCGGGTCGGACGAGGGAGGGCGAGGAGGGCGAGGAGGAGGAGGAGGAGGAGGAGGAGGAGGAGGAGGAGGAGGAGGAGGAGGAGGAGGAGGAGGAGGAGGAGAGGAGGAGTAGGAAGAAGGAGGAGGATCAGGAGGAGGGCGTGAGGAGGAGGAGGAGGAGGAGGAGGAGGAGGAGGGAGGAGGAGGAGGAGGAGGAGGACTAGGAGGAGGAGGAGGAAGGAGGAGGAGGAGGAGGAGGAGGACTAGGAGGAGGAGGAGGAAGACTTGAAGTGATATGGCTTTGAGGCGCCTTCACCCCGTTGGAGGGCCCAACTACCTGGCGTCACCACCCTGTAGGGCACGGTGGCCCGTGTTGCCGCGCCTGGAACGGCTGTGGCCGACATGTCCCCCTACTGGGCCACCTAAGCAGGCCGGATGGAGCGCCGCGCCTGCAACGGCTGTGTGACAGACTCGGGGCCACCTAAGCAGGCCAGAGGGGGAGGAGGAGGAGGAGGAGGAGGAGGAGGAGGAGGAGGAGGAGGAGGAGGAGGAGGAGGAGGAGGAGGAGGAGGAATGAGGATGAGGGAGGAGTGGGAGGAGGAGGACAGGGAGAGGATAAGCTAGGTGCGCGCGCCATGCATGACATCCTACCCCTCCCACCAATCCCTTCCACTTGCGCTGACTGATCCGTGTCCGCCGATGAGCTTCCTGGCGGACCAGAATCCCCCAAGTGACCCCACTGCGTGATGCGCAAGCAGAAGCGGCGGCTACGTACATTGTAGGAGGACGATGTGGCGGATCAGAAGTAGGGTTAGCAAGAGGAAGAGGATAGTGATGCGGAATAGAGAGGAGCAGCAGCAGCGGCAGTAGGAGCGGGAGGAGCAGGAGTACAAGTGCAAGGCGGAGGAGGGGAAATGAGGGCGCTGGGGCGACAAAGCTGAGGAAGGAACCGGGTCCAGACATGTGGCCTGCTGGGGCGAGAGCGCCATTCTGAACGACGGAGCTGCAGGCGTTCCGCTTCTCTGACTCGGCACGGCTGACTGGCTGCCGTCGGACAACGCAAGAAAGTTGCCACCAAACTGTAAACTTCTCTTCTTCTTCTTGGACTTGCCGTCTTGGTGAAGCTGAACCCATGACCACCCGTGCAATATTGCTTCCATTGGATTAACAAGTCATTCCATTCGCATGTCTCGCAGCTCGGGCATTTGGTCCACAACCGATGCCCTTTGCCAGAGACTGTGCCGCCTTTGCCTCTTCCGCCCATGAGAGAGAAATCGGGGGCCCCCTTTTGCCACCGCGCGGGCAGCACAGCGCACGGGCCCTTCCAGCACCTCGAGGAAGGCAGGGGCGGGCCAAGAACCTTCCCAACATGCGGGGACGACGGGGGTTGGTGATTGTGCCCATACGGCTTCAGTGGAGGAGGAGGAGGAGAAGGAGGAGGAGGAGGAGGAGGAGGAGGAGGAAGCGGAGGAGGAGGAGGAGGAGGAGGAGGAGGAGGAGGAGGAGGAGGAGGAGGAGAGGAGGAGGAAGAGGAGGAGGAGGAGGGGGGAGAGACGTAGAACGAGGAATAGAGACTGACGAGGAGGTCGGTCGGTCGGGCGAGGCCCTCGGGCGAATCGGTCAGCTGGGTTCTCTAAGGGGGGGTGAGGGCATCGAGGGCTCTGAGCCGTAGCCCCAAGAGATGCGGCTGCTCGACAGCGCGGGAGAAACGATGCTGCTGCTGATGATGATGACGATGATAATGCTGCTGCTGGTGGTGATCATGGGGACGATGATAAGTTGATGCTAACGATGGGGATGCTGATTATAATGGTGGTGACGATGGTGAGATGCTGATGGTACTGATGATGATGGTGGTGGTGACAATGGTGATGATGGTGATGATGATGGTGATGAGGGTGATGATGATGGTGATGCTGATGATTATGGTGGGGTGGTGATGGTGATGGTGATGATGTTGATGATGCTGATGATGCTGATGATGGCGATGCTGGTTATGCTGGTGGTGATGGTGGTAATTCTGATGATGAGGAGGGGGAGGGAGGTGGAGGAGGGAAACAGGAGGGATAATGCGAGGATGAGGCAGAGGACGCGGACCGTACGTATGATGAGGCTGCTGTTAGTAATGATGATGGCAATTGTGATGAAGGTGATGGTGATTGTGATGATGGTGATGATGACGGTGGTGGTGATGGTGGCGACGACGCCGATGCCGATTATGCTAATACTGATGATGATGGCGGTTCTGATGGTGATCGTGGATCTTGTAATGACGATGAGGATGACGATGATTTTGATGATGGTTATGATGATGACAACGGCGACGATGATGATGGCGACGCCGACGATGATGGCGATGATGACAGTAGCGGAACAACTTATGATGATGAAGATAATGATGCGGCCGATGATGATGAACATGATGGTGATGATGCGGGCGGAGATGATGATGATGATGACGACATTGATGCTGCTGATGATGACGACGGTGATGATGATGTCTGCGGTGAAGGTGGTGATGCTGACGACAGCGATTGTGCCATTATGATGACGATGACGACTCTATTGATGGTGGCGATGGTTAAGATGACGGTGATGATGCTGCTGATGATGATCGTTGGGGCGATAGTGGTGATGATGACGAAGATGGTGACGATTGTGGTTATGATGATGATGATGATGATGAGGAAGAAACTGATGATGCTGGTGATGATGATGAGTATGAAAGTGCTTACGATGATGGTGATGCTGTAAATGATGAGAACCAGGCGGATGATGATAATGATGATGAGAAAGAGCGTATTCTACCGCTGCTGGCAGAAAACCGGGGGGGGGGGCCACTGGGGGGTCCCAACCCGTCCCCCCCCCCTTCGAAAACTGGGGGAGGGCACTACCGGTTCGAACCCTCCCCCCTCGATAGTGGGACAGTAGTGGGGGCACTGGGACAGTGGTGGGGGCGGTGGTGGTGGGGACGTGGTGTGGGGTCAGTGGGACAATGGTGGGGACAGTGAGACAGTGGTGGGGGCGGTGGTGGTGGGGACAGTGGTGAGGGGACAGCGGGACAGTGATGGGGACAGTGAGACAGTGGTGGGGACGGTAGTGCTGGGGACAGTGGTGAAGGTGGTGGTGAGGACGGTGGTGGGACAGTGGTACACTTGGGACAGTGGTGGGGACAGTCGGGACAGTGGGACAGTGGTGGGGACAGTGGGGACAGTGAGACAGCACAGTGGGACAGCGGCGGGGACAGTGGGGACAGTGGGACAATTGCGGGGACAGTGGGGACAATGGGACAGTGGTGGGGACAGTGGGGACAATGGGAAGAGTGGGACCGTGGTGGGACAATGGTGGGGGCAGCGGGGACAATGGTGGAAACAGTGCGGACACTGGGACAATGGTGGGGACAGTGGGACAATGGTGGGGACGGTGGTGTGGTGGTGGGTACAGTGGTGTGAGAACAGTGGGACAGTGGTGGGGACAGTGGTGGGGACAGTAGGACAGTGGCGGGGACGGTGGTGGCGGGGACAGTGGTGAGGGCGGTGCTGAGGACGGTGGTGGTGCAAATACAGGGGGTTACAGTGGACAGTGGTGGGGAAGTGCGACCAGTGGTGAGAACAGTGGGACAGCTCAGTGTGACAGCGGCCGGGGACAGTGGGACAGTGGGACAAGTGGGGGGAGGTGGGGAAGTGGTGGAGAGTGGGACCGTTGTGGGGAACAGTGTGGGGACAGTGCGACAGTGGCGGGCTTTGTGGGACAGTGGGGACGGTGGTGGGAAACGCGGGGCAGTGTGGTGGCGACGGTGGTGCTGGGGACAGCGGTGGGGGATGTGGTGCGGACAATGGTGGGGACCCGGGAGTCGTTTGCTGGCGGTGAGGGGGGGGACCGCCCCCCCGGTTTTCTGAAGGGGGGGGGTTCGAACCGGTAGTGACCCCCGCGGTTCTCTGGAGGAGGGTGGGGGGAGGGGTTAGGGGGGGGGGGGTTGCCGGGAGAAGGTGGGGGGGGGAGGTGGGGGGGTTTGCAGCAGGGGGAGGATTTTCGAAGGGGGGGGGGGAACCCTGGGTTCCGGAGGAAGAGGGGCGATAATGTTCTACAGTAAATCGGCGGTGGATCACGTTCTCTCGATGATGATGCTGATGTTGTTGATGATGCTGCTGCTGATGATGATGATGACGATGGTGATGGTGATGACGGTGATGCTGATGCTGATGATCATGATGTCAATCATGATGATGATGACGATGATGATGGTGGCAACGACGACGATGATAATGATGATAGAGATGCTGATAACGATGATGCTGCTGATGATGATGTTGATGATGATGGTGCTGCTGCTGCTGATGATGATGGCAACGACGACGATGATAATGATGGCGATTCTGATCATGATGATGATGCTGATGCTGATGCTCCTGATGATGATGCTGATGCTGATGCTGATGCTGATGCTGCTGCTGATGATGATGATGGTGATTCTGATGATGCTGCTGATGATGAGGATGACGGTGGCGATAAGGATGATGATAAGGATGATGCTGCTGATGATGCGGAGGAGGCGGAGGAGAAGAAAGAGTAGGAGGAGGAATACGAGGAGGAGGAGGACGGTGATGATGGTACCGATGATGGTGGTGGTCATGAGTATGGTGTATGGTATGGCGTGGATGGAGGGGCCGGGAGGAGGGAGGAAGACAAGGGAGAGGGGGCAGGACGCACGAGGAGGGCGGGGCGGGCGCACCCTCTCCCAGGGCGGCGCGCACACGGGGGGGGCAGGGGGAGGGGGGAAGGCGTCCTGGAAGGGGGCTGATTCTTAGAAGGTGCCCGCCCTGGAGAGAAGGCTCGCGCCTTCTGAGGAGCAAGGGCGCTCCTAAAAAGCCTTCCCCCCTTGCCTCCTCCTCCTCCTGTTCCTCCTCCTCCTCCTCCTCCTCCTCTTCCTCTTCCTCCTCATCACCTCTCCTCCTCATCCTCTCCTACTCCTCCTCCTCCTCCTCCTCCTCCTCCTCCTCCTCCTCCTCCTCGCTCCTCGCTCCTCGCTCCTCCTCCTCTTCCTCCTCCTCGCTCGCGGAGCTCGGCCTGGTCCATGCAGCTCTGGTCCTGGCAGAACCATGAAGAGAAGCGTGCGCAGCACCAGCAGGAGATGCTGCGGAGGAGCGGCTTGTCGGCCCGGCAGAGCCGGAGGAGCAGCTCCATAACCTGCGCGGGGGGGTCTTCGCTGACTGCCTGAGGGGCCCAACACCGCGCCTTGCGCCGCGCGAGGCGCGGCTGTGTCCTCGCGCACTCGCTCGCTCGCTCTCTCTCTCTCTCTCTCTCTCTGTCTCTCTCACTCTCTCTCTCTCTCTCTCTCGCTCTTCATCCCTATTTACTTCTCGCTCTCTCTTTTTCTCTCTCTCTCTCTCTCTCTCTCTTTCCCACTCTCCGTGTACTTCTTTACAGCGTGGACCCCAGAAGGATGGAGGAGGAGGAGGAGGAGGATTTTTTTTTGTCTCTCAACCGCGTGCATTCAGCCCAGCGACGCGTCGCCGCGCCCGCCGCCCCGGCGCGGCGCCCCGCGCGCCCGGCCGGCGGGCGAGCCCGGCCGGCACGACACGGGGAAAAACGACGGGGGCCCCAGAAAAAGGGGCAGCGCAGCGCCGCCTTCAGCGAAAAAGACGGCGCCGCGCCACCCGCCCCCAGGGACCCGGGACCGGGCCCCAGGACCGAAAAAAGGACCGGACCCCAGGACCGACCCCCCCCCAACAAAAAAAAGGCGGCACGACACGACACGACACGACGGGGGACGAAACGGCCACGACCGACACGCACGACACGACACGGACGAACGACACGACAAAGACGAGCCGCCGGTCCCGCCCCAGGGCGGCGAGAGCTGGGGGGGACCCAGCACCGCCCTGGGGGAGGCCACGGGACCTGGCGACCCCCCCGGGGGAAGGAAACCGCACTTTGGCGGCGTCCCCCGGGGAGCGGGGGCTTTTCGCCCCGAGGGCCCGGCGGTCCCCGCCTCCGCCAGGGGGCCGAAGCCCGACCCCACTCTTGGGGGCCCCCCCGGGGCATGGAGGAGGAGGAGGAGGAGGAGGAGGAGGAGGAGGAGGAGGAGGAGGAGGAGGAGGAGGAGGAGAAGGAGGAGGAGGAGGAGCGAGGAGGAGGAGAATGAAGGCTCTCTCGTCCACCGCCCCCCGGGAAGGAGGACCTCCGCGGCTCGGACCGCGCAGCGTGATCGTCTTCGCGCCCCTGTGCGGGGGACTTCCACGCAGACTGCGCGCGAGAGAGGCGCTCCGCGGAAGCGAGCAGCACGGCCCCCCCGGCAGCTGCCGCACCTCGCCCGGGGAGCGCGGCGAGCTGGATGCGCCCTCCTCGTCGTCCGACCTCGCCCTCGCTCTCGTCCGAGCAGCGTGCCTCTTTCGATCCTCCTCTTCCTCGTCCGACCTCGCCTGGCCTCGCCCTCGCTCCTGCCTCCCACCCTCTCATCCTCCCGGCCCGCCTGCCCTGCGGCCGGCGCTTCCTCGGCCCCCCCCCTGGGGATGGGGCCCAGGACACTTTCGCTCACAAGACTGACGTTGCGCCGCTGAGCTGTGGAGGCCCCCGACGTCATGATTTTTTCATGACGCGATCCCC